GCAGTCCACATGTTTGTTTTGCCGAGACCTGGGAGAACAAGCCTTGAGAACAATTTACAAAAACTAAATAAATAAAACTTACATATTGAGATTGCCTTGTTAGACTTTGGATAGGGGTCACTTTAACACAAAATTTCAATAACTTAATGGCACTATTAGTGATCAAGTTAGCAAAGGACCCAATATGCAGGCCAAATGCAGACTCTCAGGTTGGCAATTAAAAATGAACTTGTGCAAAACTTAATGTGGTGGGAAAATCCTATGACTAACAAAAATTCAAAAACAAAAACAGCAGCTAAAGAAATGCAAAGAATTAGAATAAAAAGAAACCAGAGAGCGCAGAAACAAGATGGATGTGAAGAGGAGACGATAACAGAGACAGGTTTGACGCTTAAGGTACAGAAAAAGAAAAGAACAACAACAACAGTTGAATAATGATGAAATTAAACCAAATAAGAGACTGTTTCACAGTGTAGGTGTGTGGAGTGTTGAGCAGAGGATCTGAACAAAAGATGAGCTCTTTATTGGCTCTTTAGCAAATCCAAAATGTAACATAATCCAAGGAAAAATTCCAAAAACACGAATTCGAAACCTGCACAGGGAAGCTAAACTAATAACGTACATGGATAACTCACTGGTGGACTAAGCAAAAATAGCAGGAACTGGAGATGGGTGGGGAACAAGCCATAGCTAAATAAGATTAACAAAGGTAAAAGCAATCCATTCACCAATCAAGAAGTAAAAGTGGGAAGAGCCACCACTTAAAACTAAACGTCTTAAGAAATACACAAAGGAGACTAATACAGACATGGTTATTAACACTTCACAAGAAGTGCAAGACAAGAAAAGACCAAGATGCTGCCGCCCCAGCAGACCGCACTGTAAAAGATGGCTGAGGCCACCACAGAGTCATAGAAGGTCTTCAGAAGTGGGCCCTTCACTCCAAAACACCTGAGCATCTGCAGCGGGTACAGCATGCTCTGCCTTTTCCTGTAGAGAGCATTTGAGTTGTGAGACCAGTACAGTTTATTGTTCAGGTGAACACCAAGGTACCTGTAGCTATCCACAGCCTCAATATCAATACCTTGGATGTTTAGTGGCTGCAGTGGAGGATGTTTGTGCCTGCAGAAGTCTACCACCAGCTCCTTGGTTTTACTGGTTTGGATTGGTTTTAGTGTTGATCTGTAGGTAGTTCTGCTGACACCAGTCCATAAAGCCTTAATACTAAATAGTGACTAAAACTTAAATGCAACAAGTACATGAAGTTTAAGATTGAAGATAACAAAAAAAATCAAAACAGGAATCGAAAATCAAAATAATAATAATCAGGGAACCAAACAGAAAACGCTTAACCCACTACTGTAGGGTTACACAAGCATCTCAGGGGTCTGTGAGTTAAAGCAGTGCATTGAAGATACAGCATATTACACTGTACTGCTTATTTTTTTCTCTCTTTTCTCACAAGCAAAACAGTTAGATCAGATTAAAACAAGAGCAATTAGGAAATTCAATACAAAAATGTTACTGGTGGCCTTCAAAACTAAATTGTGAAAAAGAAAGGAGACACTGTCAAATGACCAAAACACACATTAGGTGCAAGGATTTGTGTTGCAATCTTTCCACGCAATAATTTACCTTTGATTGTTGGATTTCTGCTTGGTCAGCTTTTGGTTAACTTATAAATAAATAAATTTTAAGTATACATGACAACTGGGTTACAAATAATTAGAGAACCAATCATAAAGGGTAAAGCAACCCCAGAACTTAATGCTATTACCACCACGTTTCTCCAGAGAGATGGTATTAACCATGTGATAAACAGTAACTTGGAGTTCAGCCAGAAAGCTCTGTTTTAATCTCATTAGAGCAGACATCACTTTAGCTCTTCCCCTTAGTACTTTAAACCACATATGGTAAACTCCAGGTGGAAAGAGTGCCTTTCTAGCTGCTTTACAATGATGGAGTGGTGCTGAGATTATTGCCCTAATGCCTCGCCACAGTTATCGCAGAGATCTACAAAGAATACCTTGGCGCTTAGTACTTGTTTTTTGCCACAACATGCAGTCAGATCTGTAGGACCTCAGAGACACAGGTGTACCTTCCAGAAGGTCTCAGTCAGCTTCAGGGCATTTAAAGATTGATTAAACCAAACTTACTTTAACATAATTTGGATTGCCAAAGGGTGTAAAGTGTTGGAAGACTGACATTTTGTTTTTAAACTTGTAAAAGTTTAAAAAGTATATATTTCCAGTTGTTCAAAATTGGCTACTGAGTTCTGAATGACATACAAAAGCAGTTTTATTAGTTTCATATTCTGCAAAATCATAAAAGCTGTCGTTTGACTTCTGCACATTTGACATAAACAGGCTGTAACGATATTCCCTGGGCTGCTTTAAACTAGCTCAGCTGTAATGTTTCTAACAGTGCTGTTGATTGTGATATGATGAGTCTAAGATTACCTGGAATCTGAGCGCTCATGAATCACTCTTTTATTGTTTCAAATAAACCAACATCTCTCCAGACTGTGACGATATTTCGCAACGTCACCGAAAACGCCCGAGGGATTAAAGCACGGCTCGAGTTGGGCTGATGAATGTGTTGTTTTGCGTTCAGAGGAGGCACTGTGACAGGCTAATAAATATGCATCACAGTGACAGTGCGAAAAAAAGATGAAGCTGTGAGAGTGAGAAGGAGAAGTTTCTGTCCATATGCAAGGGAAGCGTATTTTTCAAGAATTAATCGAATGTTTATGCAACAGATTAAATGCATTCCACACTTGACATAAAGCAGAGGCAACAAAAGCAAAATCGTAAAACTATCTGCTTTACACAGATGCACAAAGCTCATACAAGATGTCAGAGGTGCTATCACAAGAAATGTGTCAGACAGAAATCTGTGTGATTGAACAACTGAACAAAGGTGTAACATTGAGTCAACACAGCAGAGCAGTCAACTGGCACTGAGCTTTTTGAGATAAAACACTGCTACATGCTGCAAATTGAAAAATGCTCAAAGATAAAACTAAAACTAATTCTGGGCCTCCCCTAAAACAATGAGGACATGGATGATTAACTTCTACACTTGAGCTGCACTATATTTACAGCAAGAAGCTGAAGATAGCTCTTCCAATGGGTAAAAAAAAAAGCTAAAATAATGGTTAACTGGGGGTGCTTCTTCCTTACAAGTTGGAATTGTTTGAACTGGATGTGTAAAGTAATTTGAATTGATTTTCACTAAATGTGGTGCTGTACATTATGGCCAGACATCTTCACTCTGGTCCCATCTGTCTAGATGCAACTTTGCAAACCAAAGCTGTGCTCCTTTTAGAGAAACACAAGCTTTCTGCTGACAACCCGTTCAAACAGCCATACTTGTGCTTTCTCTTTGTTTTGGCACCACCTGACCTTTGGGTGAAGACCAACAAACTACCAAAACCAAAACCTGGAGATAATCAGTCAATTAAGGGTAGCCCCACCTGGCTGGTCATTCCTATGGAAGCAAGGTTAAGGTTGGACTTTATTTTTTCAGGGTTGCTTGTGAAAACTTTCTTTTTCACATGAATGTACTATGTTGACTTAAACAGTTTAAGAGCCAAGAAATGTTCCACTCTTGGGAGTTTCCCATTTGTGATGAACAAACAAACCAACAAACAAAACTTGCTTGCTTGTGTCACTTTCCAGGTCTTTAGCAAATTATTGACAACTCAACTTTGGTGTTAATTTGGGTTGCTCTGTGGCTCAAAATCACCAAAAACTTAGAGCCGATAAATCATATTCCATATAGTGCATTTTTCAAAATGCCATTCTAGTTGGAAAAAGTACACACCAATGGAATTTTTTTTAAAAAACTAATAAAATATGAAATATTAACAAAATATTAATGATCAAAAATACTCTCAGACACGCAATCGCATTAGGCTGAAGTAATAAATAAGTTGAGATTCTGTTGTAATAAAATCGCCAATCAGGTTACCAGCTCCGTGCTGCATTTCTGTCTTTTTATGGCTTCAAAACGATCGATTACACAGGAACAAAGAATAGAAGAGAAAACGGTTTAAAAGATATTCAGTAAGTGCATTTCAAGGACACATTTACAAGAACCTAAAAGCTAGAAAATTTTAAAGCACTTTATTGCCATTGTAATCTTCATCTTTAACGTTTTATTACTTTTTTATATATAATTTGCCCGCTAAACACTTTTCTTCGACTTCTTTATTAACACTGCATGCGACTTTCAGTTTAGTTGTAACACTCGGCGTTTGATCAGCTTTAAAATCACCTCCTATATTATATGTTTAACCGAAAGACAGCGTCCAGGTGACTGATTGATGGGTAACACAACACTAGAGATCGCCATTGAGCCACGATCCACGCGTGATTCAGGGCGAACGTGAATAGTGAGTAAATGTGCCTTATCGACTGTATAGGCCTTTTGGCTGTAATGGCATTATTATAATAATTAAAACGCACAGACTGCTCATGACACTACCACTAATGAAAAGCTTACTAGAGGCTCAACACGTGAGCGAGAGCAAAACGTATGGGCTACAACTTGGACACGTTATGCGTAAAAGGTATCAATATTCGCAGAGATTCTCACATGAATCCCACTGATTAGGCTATCGATCCGTAGTGAAGCCACGGAGATGAGGGTGATCAGCACTTACTATTTAAATCAGTAATTCGTGTAATTTATTTATTTCCTCCCTCTTCTGGGCTCTTTTTTTTTATCATCTCACATAGTAGCGACAGACTTCTGTAGCAGACTGTATGGTTACTAGAATCGATTGTCTGTCAGAATTACCTCTATTATTAAAAAGCTCGGAAAGGCTCCGGTTCACATGACAGTAGGAGCCTCTCATTGTGCAGCTCGGAGTGAAAGAGAGGCTTTGACTCTGTGTGATGAGATGAAGACCTCAGATGAAATGGACAGCAGCACCGAGGGCGCACGGATTCCTCGCCTCGGCTCTGAGTAGACGACCTCCTACCGACTTACTTCACGTTACCCCGCCCGTCTGCTTGCCGTCTCCTCCCCTAAAACCCTTCCTGCGACCAACCCTTTGAGCGACTCTGGGCTTAAAAAAATAGAGACTGAGAGAGAAAGTGAGAGAGATAGCGAGAGCGAGCCAAAACACATACTCCCAACATCACTTAGACTATCTTCTCCAGCACAACAAGGGGAGGAGGACGCACAAGTGGAGGCGCGTCCATGCGTGCCAACCGGCAGACGAACAAGACATTAAAGCGGGCAAAGGACCACAAATAAATTGGAATAAGACTGAACTCTTTGGAAAAGCGCACAGCTTTGCAAAAACCCCCCCAAACAAACAACACCCCCAAAAAAGACAGTCTAGATGAGTGAATGGTAAGAAGAGTCATGCATCTCAACGGAGGAGCAGATAACAGCAAAGGTGAGCAAAAATATTTCAGCGGCCATCAGTGGATAATTTTAATCAGGCTCTCTGCATAGTTCAAAGCTCTCGCGTTGATTGCCAGATGCCCTTGAGTGTGCCATGTTGATGTCAAGTAATGATGCTGGGGGTCATTCCAACAAGCTAATGGTTACTGCTGTCATGGTTTTATTATTGCCTGTTTGCCTTTCACCAAAACGCACTGAAAAGCTTCGCATGGTAGTGAGAAGGGGTGCTGCAATACACCCAAGGTGGCAATATAGTGACTGTCTGTGAGCCAGCCACTTGAGCACTTGTTGTTCTCGATTTGGATCCAGTGTGCACGGTCGCATCCTTGCACGGTCGTTCTTGCACGGGGTGACCTGAGCATACATGCACAAGGTCATTTTGATGAGCAGCCTGTCGTGTTTGTGCAGCTTCGAGGTGCGTGTGTTTGTATTGTTGTCTGTAACTGAGACGAATGCGTGCCCTCCGCTGTGGTCGGAGGGGGAGAATTAGAGAGCAGACGGTGTGTAACGACAACGCTTCCTATCAAGATAAGTACCGATGGCTGTTGATGCATCTGCGAGAGCCGTGGTGGTGGTGTTGGTGGTGGGGGTAATTTTACTCTCAGTCTTGGAACCGAGGTCGAGGTCACTGACTAACACCTGATGCTGATGGAGATTTTCCTCTCAATGTCTGTCGACATGACGCAGCCCGTGTCTTACTGAGCACTGTAAAACTGCAATTGGACTTGTGTCCACCACACCCACGCACTCAGCAAGTTAAATGTATTATAATGACTGGCATCAAGTATATGGCACTATGATCCACAGACTGATTGTTCAAACTACTGCATGTAATAGTCAGTCCCCCATAAACGTGAGATATCTGTAGTACAGTTGTGGGCAGAAGAAGTCTTAAAAAAACCCCAAACTGAAATACTAAAGAGCAACACCACAGTGTAAGTGCTGAAAATCTTTCAACTTTTTATTTTCTCACATCTGAGCAGCATGCTGATAATGATGTTATACAGTTTGAATTGGAGTACAGTATTTCACATTTTTATTTGCAAGTGGTGAGCTTTACAGGAGGCTAATATCTTTGTTTTTACCAGCTGTAAAGCATGCTGTTTGGTGAGGAGTTCCCCATGTGGAGAGGGGTGACCGGCACAGTGGCACACCGCATCGCCCCTCATCTGAAATGTCTTACGACCTCATTGCCAGATATGGTTTCACTGGGGACAAAAGATGAGTCACCATCTGCAACTGGAAGTGATTTCATGATTACATGACAGGCGTGTGTGCGTGCGCGTGTATATTCCTGTATTACTCTGCTCGTGGGGACATAAATGTGCATACAGAGTCTCAATGTGTGGGCATGCTTTCCTCCTGGGGACGAAAGGAAAGCATGCCCACAGTGTAAATTACAATAATTTAGTTTGAAGATGCGCTTAAGGCTAGGCTTAGGTTAAGATGTGGTAATGGTTAGGGTTAGGGAGTTAGCAGCTATGTTAAGGGTTAGGGTAAGACTGTAGCAAAGGAAGTTAATGTTCTTGGGAGTGATAGAAGCGTGACTGCATGTGTATTTGCACATGTCCGTGCTTGTGTGAGACAGAGAGAGTATATGTGTCTGTGTTTGTGTCTGAAAGTGAGAGGGAACATGTGAGAGAGAGTCGTGAAGCCAAAAGGTATTAATCAAAAGGTTAAGTGTAACAGCAGAACTCAGGCTAAAGCTCGGCTCCTTATATATTGAAAACACAGAAATAAATATTATAAATGTCACTGAATAACATCAGTGATGACGGAGACACTGCGTCCAATATAATAACAGCTTCTTTTTTTATTCTAACAGCAAAAATATTACATGTGGCATATTAAAGATGTCTGAAGTTCATGAAGTTAATGTTCTGTATGGCAGCTGAAGCAGATGGTGTTTTATGCTTATAGGCTGTTTACTGTGTCAAAATGAATCAGATCAATGGCTCAGACTCATTACCCAAAAAAATTATAGCCAAGCCTCCAGCTTTAATTGTCACATTGCATTACCTTAGATAGTCTAGACAACACAGAAACGCGTTTTCCGGCAGACACAATCTATTTCAAGATTAATTTCAGCAAACGGTTCAGTCAGCAAAGCGTTTGTAATTTGTCTTAAAAACAACCGGGAGTGTTCTTTCTGGAGCTCATACATTTTTAGCTTCACGGGGACAGCAATCTAAACTTCAGCAATCGTTAGCCCTCTTCTGCACCGTGGCGCGAATTGAGCAGAAGGGTGCCAGTCAAACTTTGAGTGTAGTTAATGTGTTTGTGTAGATTTTACCTGGAGATTGAATTGATATTTTCCCTGCTTGTTGGCTCTTAAGCAATAACTGTACTTTGGTTTAAAATCATCCTCAATTTACACTTTCCTATGAAATAATACATTAGTAAAACACTGCATCAACAGGCTTCCTGAGTATACCTTTAGGTGTAAAATGCAATCACTTGGCCTTTTTGTCCAATTGGACATTAGTGCTAAAATGTGTTTTATGAGGCCACCGTGGCCTCTAACCTTATTCTAATCAAGTGAATGGTTTTGCCAAATGTAATGAAATCCCATCCATGGGTTCCTGTGGCATTGCTTTCACAAATAATGGGTCAGATGTGAGGTAACGCCTACCCTGACATTCATAAACCAAATTCAGATTTGTTCATGTTTGAATCTAAAGGAATATTTGTGCAAAAATTTTAGAAATCCTCGCAAGATGTTCAAGTGATATTGTGCTCAGAGTCTGAAGCAGACAACCTCGTAATGCCCAGAGCTCACTGTGATGAGACTTTACTTGTTTATGTGACCAAGATTAAAAAAACCCAAACTCATATTGACTTTACCATAAAAAAGCTGATCTGGCAAACAAATAATCAATAAATGCATAAATGCATTTGCTGATTGTTTTTTTTTTCAATTATCTCCAAAAATACCAATTGTGGCTGCTCTTAAGTCACTTCAGCTTCATAATGACATGTTGGTGACAGGGCATATGAATACTTTCATATTTACTCATGATATCCATTCTTAGGTCAAATTTTCAATATCAGACTTCTTGTAAATGCGGAGTATTTGTGCTTCCCAGTGCTACTGTCATTTATTTTAACATGGGCTACTTTTTACATTTTTGTCTTAAATGAAAGAAACAAGCACACATAACATCCCATATACAGTAACTATATTGTACTATTATAAATAACTATTTACCTTGACCCTGTGTATAAACGTAATCTTACAAAGTTTTTAAAAAAAGGTTTTCCCGACCATTTCAAATATTTTCTGAAACATTACTTTTTCCTAGTGGAAGTATTGAACTCATCCATCATACCCAGTGCATACGCTCAATTTTGTGAAGTAAAACAAGTGAACCAACACACTGCAATTACATCAAGATTTGATATAAGCTAGGATTTGAAGCTTTATTCATTCTAGTTATATCACCACTAAAGGAGACTCCATCTAAAAATATCCTCATTTATGGTTATGTCAGTAAATGAGTTCAAATTTTGATGCTATAAAAGCAACAGCTCATTTTCCCAAATATTGATTAGGCTCACAGCAAAAATAAAATACATTACATGCAGTCTGCAGGATGTTATGTAATTCTTTCCAGGCATAGAGTCACTTTTTTGTGTCTAGTTCCCCAAACGAGCATTTATTATGCAACTTAAAGAGGGGAGCATATCATTGATTTGCAACCCAGTATTATTTATTAACAGAAAGGAAAAAAAAGGATGGAATAAGAAAAGGTATTGTTCCAGGGACTAAGAGCGTGAATACGACAGATTGAGGAGCTATTTATATAGAACCAACAAGCAATTTAACACAAGCAGTTACCAGGGACAGCACTGACAAGACAAAAATGTAAATGCACAAGCAGAATAAAGACAAGACCACAAGTTTGTGGATGGCTTGTAGAACATAATCAGAGACACCTTTTTAGTGTTGTAGTAATAATCAGTGGGTAGTTAGTTGTGGAATTCCTGCATTGTTGTTGCAAGTTCCCTTCACAACAGCCCAGGTGTAAATGTCAGGTCTTAAGTAAGCATCAGGGCAAAGTGCAAAAGAGACGTCTTGTTAATCAAGCATGTGAGAACAGTCAGCGATAACCACTCAGTATTAGTAGCATTGGGATTCAGTGGGAAATGTTTAATTAATATTACGGTTCAAAACTAATGGACTGGAATTATTATTAGTGGTATGAGACAAACTGTTAGGGAGACAGAACACTAATTAATAGAATTTGAAACAAATATATTTTTATTCCTTGTTTAATTGTGAGCCACAATGTTGGGGAAACAAGCCACTTAGATTTACAGACTCAAGAGACCAGACGAAGAGGACATGAAAGAGGAAATATTGCTCTGTTCTACTTAGCTGCGCACATATTTTTAACTGAGGAGGAATATGATAGACTACCGCTTAAAAAATGATGACTGAATTAAAAAGTCAGACAGGAGGGGCCAACAAAGAAATAGACACAGCGTGTCACTTAGAGGGACAGATCGAGGCATGTCTCGAGCTAGCAGGCCCGGACAGATGAATTCTTTAGCCTCGGTAAACTGTCACATCGTCACCTCGTGGTGTGAGGTTTGAAATAAAGAGAGCAGCAGCAACAAGGCTTTTTCTCTGATGAAGGCATCAAAGTGAAACACGTCAGGTTTGCCAGTGCCTTTGTTTCAAATACAACTAGAATAATAAACGAAATGCCAAGTGATGTATCATTAACATATTTTTTTTAAACCCAGAATTATTTATATTGGTGTTTTTATTGCGAGCATACCTATATTTATACCAGAAGTAGGCAGGTCTATAGAAAAGTTATTAAATATATATAGAACTTATGTCATTTTCTTTATTGATATGGAAAAGAAATGTGTGCACAGACCCAATCATCTGTCCAAATATACATTGTCTTAACCACTAATGCTTCTTAGTGTTGTAGCGAGTGTTGTTTCCTATCCCACCTGTCATAAAGCATGGAGGTGGAG